TTTTATAAAGAGATTACAACATATTTTAGAATGTTGATAAAGAAGAGGGTAGAGAACTTTTCTCATTTAAAAAAACAAACATAAAAACAACTCGTTTAACCCTAAAATTCTACCTTGTGTCATGCCATATTAAACATGGGCCAGGATGAGTTTAACTCATGTCATCAAAAACTGAACTCTATTTAATAGGATTACATTTCTAAATAATTATTGCAATTTTAATTTTTCTGATACAGACGAAGAACTAGCACTGGATGGCAGTTTTGACCAAGACCTAAGAAACTATCACAGACTTCACTGGGAAACAGAATTCAAACCTGTGGCACAGCAGCTTCTAAACCGCATTCAGAGTCATCACACCTTCCTGGAACCTCTGCCTATCCCTTCGTTTTAACATGATACAGGCTGGCAACACAAATAGGGAGTCAGGTCTCCTTCATTCTTAGAAAGTGATAACAAATGTGAACTCTTTTTTTTTTTTTTTTTTCCACTATTAATAAATATTGACAAGTTTTCCAGGTACTGATTTTAGTGAATAGCTACGTATTGTAAAAGAAACAAGCATTTCCCTGTGTTAGCTATTGTGGAGAAACGAATATATGTTATTCTTTCTACTATGAGAAATGAAAGTTGGAAATATATGCATAGTTTTTCTACACAAGTGCCTTTTTCTTCTATTCTCCATTAGATCATTTAGTTTTAGTCTTAAGATTGCAACTTAACAATTCCAGAATTTAAGTGTTGGTCAGTTTCTTAGGTAAGTGAACTGTGCAGTGCAGACCACTAGACTTTGTATATCAAAAGAATGGTGGTCTCAACAAATGGAACACCTTACTTACTATATAAGCACCTGTCCTACTTCTTAGTCCATCTAATAATACATTTTCTGATTCAGTACTGCTATTTTTCTGGTTCTCATATTAACAGGAGTAAGCAGAAGTTAGAGAAGGCAGCTTGGGCCATCTACTCTTTCTTCATCTGTCTACTTATTAGAATAGTTTACCTCTTTCTTTTCATTTGAAACAAAAAGCCTGGACCACAGTCCCTTCTAATTGTAACTCCCTGGGATTAGGAAAGTGATGTAATATATTGGAAAGAGTGTAGGCGTAGTGGTATAGCAGAATAGTTTGAATCCTATTTCTCCCCTGCTAGCTGAGGACCCTGGGCATGTAATTCATTGAGCTTCAACTGCAAAATGGGAATAATACCCATTTTCTTACAGTGCAGCCTATAATAAACCATTAAATGATCAACTTGCCTAGCATGATGTCTGATGTACATTATTGTATGTACATGTACATTATAGCATGATGGCAATTAATTCCTTAGTTTGCTATTCTTTATAGGCCAGGAATGGCCTTTGAATAGATATTTAAAAAAAAAAGAAAAGAAATTGAGATTATGGTTGTTATACTAGACAAATGAATGAGACCTGGAAAGAAAAGCAAATTTACTATTCTGTTTGGAGAAAACTAGTTTGTTAACAGCTCATCTCTCATCCTACAAAATACCAAGATTCAGGGGATGGGGGCAGGCAGCCCAGACTGGGCTAGCTCTTGGAGCCTATTTGAACAAACCAAAATTTCCAGGAAAATAATAGACTTTCAAAAGGCTTTTTTAGTCCAGAGCTCATCCCTGGTGAGGGCTCAGCAAGATCCTATAGAGAGGCTCATCATGTTGTCCTCTATCTATCCAGGAGTATATATATATATACTAGGAAATGTATCCCAATTGGTGAAATCAGTTGAAGTCTGAAAGGTTAATCTCTTCAAAATATTTAAGGATCTAAGTCTTTATTTTATCCACATCAGGCTATATATTCTACTTGCAGTACAGAAGGACAAACTTTTCCCCCCTTCAACAGCTCCCTTAGAATTGATAGTATATAACTCATGCTGTTGTTGTTATTTGCCATCGAGTTGGACCCGACTCATAGCGACCCCTCCTTGGGTTTCCGAGGCAGTATCACTATGGAAGTAGATTGCCCAACCTTCCTTCCGAGGAGTGGCTGGTGGGTTTGAACCCACCAGCCTTCTGGTTAGCAGTTAAGTGCCTTAGGCACTACACTATAACTCATGCTAGAATACCATTATACTTGTTCGTCTCCACACTTCATCCCTTCTGTGGTGAAATGAGTTCCTTTATGTGGCCTTTGCCTTGGCTCTTTGGAAAATACTTGAGCAATTTTCCCCCTAAACTCTGAGAAATTACCTCTGTTCTAGAGTTTTCTACCCCAGAGAGTTTGTTACTTTTGTTCAGGTTGATTGACATTTCATAAATAAGCATAAACAAGGATAGTTTGATCATTTTTGACTAGCCCTGGGCTGCTGTGCCACTGCTTGCCCTGTGATTGTTATGTACTTTGCAAGGGCTGGTCAATAGACTGTGCTAAGGAGATGAGTTGTAGCCTACTATGTAAATGAAGCATCTGTGGCCTACCAAGAAGGGATTGGTCAGTTCATGGCCCTCGTGGGAGTGCCATGCCTTGAAATTGACAATGAGTTTGTGTATTTAAGCAGCCTTCTCTACAGAGGTTATTGAGAGAGAGAACAGAGAAGCAGCAAGCAGCAGAAGGAAGAAAGAAGCAATAGCAGCGAAGGGGGGGGGGGCAAGGAACCTCCTAAAAGAGCTGGAACACAGGACAAAGGTTGTAACACTAAAGCCGGTGACAGGCCCAGAAGTGGCAGAGCTGTGGCAACAGAAGGCAGGTCTAAGAGAAGCCTGTCCTGAGGGGCCTGGAGGCAGCCAGCACAGTTGAGAGGAGCTGAGAGAGCTGTTCTGCATTAGAATGGGAGACTTTTCCTATGTTTCTTAAATTTGATCCTGATCCTGAGTTGCAGTTTGTTATTTAATAAAGCACTTCACTGTATGTAAGTATGGTCTGTGAGCTGTGTGTAGCCACTGCAACAGAATACTGAACCCAGAAGAGAAGTAGAGAGTGCTGTGGAGGGAAATCTGGTGTCAGAACTGGTAAACAGGTTGAAGAGTGGAGGTGGGTCTGACTTTCACTTCATAGTGATCAGTGTTGGGGTGATCTCAATTCCCATTATGTTGCTGTTGTTGTTGTTTTTATGTGCCATCGAGTCGGACTCAACTCATAGCAACCCCTCGTTGGGTTTCCAAGGCAATACCACTATGGAAGTAGATTGCCCAACCTTCCTTCCGAGGAGTGGCTGGTGGGTTTGAACCGCCAGCCTTCTGGTTAGCAGTCAAGTGCCTTAGCCATAGGGTCTAATGCTACTATTACTCCCACCCTTTTACACCTCCCCCTCAGATTCATGGGCAAGCAGAATAGCTTGGAACCATCTACCTGCCTTTTGCTATCCCTTGACAGTCACACATACTTACAAAGGTGCAAATAAACTTTCAGAGTACCTTAATTATGGAAAGCATCTTTATCCAACAAGTTTTATTTATCCATTTATCTATCAACTGTTTGTATCAAAACTAATTTTAAATAGCAAACCTATTAGAAGAATTAAAACCCACTGATTTTAAATAAGGAGCTCTGGTGGCATGGTACCTAAAGCATGTGTCTGCTAACTAGAAGGTTGGTGGTTCAAACCCATGGAAGACAGATGGGGCAATCTACTTCCATAAAGATTTACTGTCTCGTAAACCTAATGGAGGTCGCTATGAGTTGGAATCAACTCGATGGCAGTTTTGGCTTTCAAATTAAAAGTTATCACCGCCTTTTGTATGGAGAAGTTAAACCTAAATAATTGTGGTAAATATGGAATATGAAATTGTTTGGACTTTTTAATCTCATTTTATAGTAAGAGTCACTCCATTAGGTTGGCCTAATATGAAAGTTTCCTAAATGTCACCCAAAACCTCAGCTTTTAAAAATCAAATCTTGGGAAACTTATCAGAAATCTTTTCATGATTGTTTTAAGAAAAAAATTTCCTTTGGTAGGGGAGGGTTTTAATATCCTGTATAATACCCTATTTTACCTTTCTCAATTATTTTGGAAACTATTAATTTCAAAGGTTATAGTAACATCAGAAATCCTGTGTGCTTAGTTTTGTGAAAATGTTCTGAGTAACAGGAAGCACCTGTTAAATGGGAGGTGTTGAAACACCAAGTTTGTATCACAAGCATGCCTTTTATTACTTTAGATATAACAACACTTTTCTACTCATTCAAATTTTCCGTTTTCAGCCTCTCATTTCTAAGTGGTTGTAAGCTTCAATTAACTAAGAAAATAAATTCTAGTTGATCTTGTTTTGTGATCACCATACTGCTGACTAGAACCTCTACTAGAAATTTTGTATTTTGAAGGAGAGGCACAAAGAACAAAGAGCAGGAACAGAATGAGTAAGATTTTCAATACATCCAGTGCAATTTAGTTATTAGGTCTGCCGGTATTGCTATGATATAATAACTCACCATCAGACAAGAGTGGGAAAAGGCATGATACAAATTCAGTGTCTAGGGCCACTGGAAGCTAATGAAGGTCGTGTAGAAAAGATTCGGGAAGAGAGCTATTTTGGTTAATCTAATAAGAGTATATGTTTCTTTAAATTAAAAAAAATTAAAAATAATAATCTATTTTTAAGTTTCATGGGTAGTTTAGTGGTAGAAATCTCACCTTCCACGAGGAAGTCCAGGGTTTAATTCCTGGCCAAGGCACCGTATGTGTGGCCATTACCTGTCAGTGGGAGCCTGCGTGTTGCTATGATGCGCACCATGTTTCAGTGGAGCTTCCAGACTAAGATGGACTAGTAAGAAAAGGCTGGAGATCTACTTCCAAAAATCAGCCAATGAAACCCAATGGATAACAGTCCAGTCCACAACTGATCATGGGGATGGGGCAGGACCAGGACTTTCCACTGGGAAAGAGGTTGCCTGCGTCAGGGCCAACTTAGTGGCAGTTAACAATGGCATTTAAGGCGACAGTCTTGTCTTCTCACTAGGGTATATATATATCCTCAAGGCCAGGTACTACTTCTGTTCAAAATCGTGCCTCCCCTTTTCACCATCACCTCTCAACACACGATAAATCTGTAGGTACTAGATTGAGTTCAGTAAATGTTCTGATCAGTAACAGTTATTACAATAGCTTGGCTTGAATTTAGAACTATGTCTAGTCCTTTCAGAGAGTCATTATTTGCTTTATATTCTGTATCTAATGAGTCCTTGTTTCTAATAATTCTATTTGAACTCTAAAACTTTCTCAATTCAAAGTAGACTAGACAGGGACACCATACCAGTCATTTCCCAGATAAAAGTGATCTTAGATAAGATCCTGAAGGTCCACTCCTCTTTTTATCCTCCAAAATAGGCGAGAGTTTCACATTTCGTTTCAGTCTCTCATCTGATTACAGCATCATTTAAGTGTGAATCTACTTGGTTATAAACTAGAGACTCAATTATTATTGGTAAGTCCTGGTCTTTTAAGGGATTGAGACAGCAAATAAAAAATGGAGAAAAATTATTCTTTATTGAAAAATACCAATAATACTGACAGACTTCAAAAGCAATTCACGCTTCCAGAATACAAAGTACTTAATACATTTTTTTCAAATATGTTTGTATTTCAAACAAATTAGCATTTTTGTAAATCCAATTTGACAACCTGACTAAAAATATTTTCCAGCTTTATCATCTAAGGAGCTGCACAACCTTTAAAGTAGGGACCATGGAGGTGGGCAGGAGCAGAGGGCTAAGGGTACACCTGGGACTGCACAGCAGTCTACAGAAACATTTCTACAACTTGGTGCCAGAAACAAAAATACTGCACAAGACAGCTGCCCTCCAGTGCCAGAGAATCTTGGGAACAGTATATCAAAAGATAGCTAGCTTTTCTTATAATTTATGCCTTTCATTTAAGATTTGCTTTTTAAAGTAAATCTTTTAAGAATATCACTGCAATTTAATGTCATCCAATAACTTTAAATTTTAAAAAACTACAGTGAAAGAAATGAACTGTTACCATCAAAATGGTCTTTGCTGAGCTGTGATATTTCTATGCTTTTTAAGATGCAAAAAAAAAAAAAAGAAAAAGAAAACAAAACACAACCCCAAACAAACCACATATGCAAGTTTAATTTGAAACCACACAAATTATATATGTAGGCTCAGATAGTAGCAGTGTTCACTTTTATTACTAATAGCTTAATTGAAACAGCCATCCTATTCATTCCACCAGCAGGAATAGCAGCACCAAGATCTTCTAAACTTCTTTACGTATAAAGCTTAAGTCATTATCCAAGTCCTATTCTCTGCATGCTCCAATTCTTGTTATCTGACTTAACATAAAAGCAACAGGATTTGGAGAGTTACTATTTGCTGTATTAAAACAGTTATACAGCCTCTTGTACTGTCAGAAAGCAAAATACTGTGAATGGCAGCCCTTCTTCACAGCTCTAACCAGGAAGCTGCCAAGCATTCACTGCTCGTGCCGCCAGTGGCATTTCCACAGTAAAACAGCAGAAACTAAAGGAATTGTGGCACAATGGATTCTGAATTCTTTTATCTACCATTGGTCCTGGGGCTTAGTACCTTCCCCTTGTAGACTGTCTGCTGATCATTCCATCATCTTTAATGGAAGAAAACTATCAGGTCATATACCGGGTAATGGCTCTCAGAGCGTAGAGGAGTTCTGCTTGCATCCTAGCTTCTATAAGAAGCAGATTAACATGAACCTGAATATAAAACAAAAGATAATAAAATGTAGGATTATAAACAATCAGTTTTTCAGTGCATCTAATAAATACCAAAAATAAGTAAATTTTCAAAGTGTCACTGAATAGTTTAAACAAAGTCTTGGGTTTGTTTAATAGAAAATCAGTATTTCAATAAAATAAAAGCTATCTGATACTCCTTTTGGATAGGTGTTTTGAGTTTTCATTTACAGGCATACCTTGGAGATATTATGGTTTTGTTCCAAACCACCACAATAAAACAAATATTGTAATAAAGCAAATCACACAAGTTTTTTGGTTTCACAGTACATATAAAAGTTACATTTACACTATACTGGAGCTCTGGTGGCATAGGGGATAAGGCGTGGCTGCTAACCAGAAGGTCAGCAGTTTAAACCCACTAGCTGCTCTGTGGAAGGAAGATGGGGCAATCTATTTCTATAAAGATTTACAGCCTCAGAAACCCAATGGGGGTCGCTATGTGCTGGAACTGACTTGATGGCAGTAGGTTTGGTTTTTTGATTTTGGTAGTCTACTAAGTATGTAACGTTGTTGTTCGGTGCCACTGAATCGGTTCTGACTCCTAGCAACCCTGTGTACAACAGAACGAAACACGGCCTGGCCCTGTGTCGTCCTCACAATCGCCAACATGCTTGAGCCCATCATTACAACCACTGTGTCAATCCATCTGGTTGAAGGTCTTCCTCTTTTTCTCTGACCCTCTATTTCACCCAGCATGATATGCTTCTCCAGGGATTGGTCCCTTCTGACAACATGACCAAGGTAAGAGAATATGCAATAGCATTATGAAAAAGTTTGAAATATTGTGAGAACTACCAAAATGTGACAGAGACATAAAGTGAGCACAGGCTGTTGGGAAAATGGTGCTCACAGACTTGCTGTCACAAACTTTCAATATGTAAAAAATTCAGTATTTGCAAAATGCATTAAAGCAAAGTGTAACAAAATAAGGCATGCCTTGTTTGTGTGCATGTATGTTTGATCACATCTCTCCTTGAAGGTGTGTTAAAATTTCAGAAAATGTAGACACTGCTTTTTCAGAATACCAGATTCCCCCACCTAATCATCCTTTACTAACTTCTATGAAGAATTTTCAAAGAGACCAGACATTTCTACCTATACACAATTAAAAAGGTCTCTTGCAAAACATTCTTCTTTCTCCTAATCAGTGGCAGCCATGCCAGCACCTCTCAAGATAAACCAGCCCACCTCTCTTCTCTGTCTTTATTCTTTTACTCTAGCAACATAATGAGGTTTCCCACCAAGACAAACCTGGCATACTGTCCTGGAGTGCTCTTCTTTGGGTCAGTAGGGGTGATGGAAAGGATTTGAAAGACACTGAGTTAGCTGAAAGGAAAATAAAAGCTACTACCAGATTACTGACTAAACAACGCACAATAGGTATGTACCTTCTCAGAGTGCTTGAACTGCCTCCAGAAGCTATCATACATTCGTTTGGTAACCTTTTCAGGAGTGCAAACAACAGTTTTGATATAAACTTTAAAGCTACGATCCAGTAGCTGGTTAATTTCACCATAGTCATAGTCATCATACCTGTTTAAAAATACAAAGTAAGAATTATATTCTCAATGTATAGTTTTTCTTCTTACAAAAGTATAGACATTAATAATAAGTGCTCTATTCTTTTACCCTCCTTGTGTTGGCAGCTGTCCCCCAAAATGATAATAAATAGCTTTACAATGTTTAACTCGGGGTTAAAGAGTGAATTTAAAGGGATAAGAACAGAAAGCTCAGGCAGAGGAACAGAAAGTTTGCCAGTGTTCAAGAAAATCATTCCTGAAACTTGATAGGGACACTGCAGCACTGGGACCCAAGCAATAGTGTATATTTATAGCGATGAAAAAATGCTGGAAACAGTTTATGAGTACTGCTGAAATTAAGAAATGAACAAACTAATATTTATTATCAGTGCTATTACATAAGGTATATTAAAGTGTAAGTAAAAATAATTAGAATGATTTAATTCATGTTTCCATGAGTTTCTGGGGTCAGAGTGATAAAGAGAGGGTAGCCCTGGAAAGAAGGATGCCTATAGACAGCTGCACAGTGTCTACTCTCAAGAGAGGCTCTCTGATCTAAGTTAAGATGGTTACAGGCACTCATGTCTGCCTTGCCCCACTGGTGATGTATTGTGGAACACCCAGGCACTGGAATCTCTTACTTGGTTTTCAGTGGAAAAGGGAGCTAGCTCCTGTAATGCTGGTCCTACAACTCTTCAGGAGCCTAACTGAGTAATTAGCCTAACAAAACCATTCTCAAACTCTGTAAAATGCACAGCAAGAGAAAGCCTGACTGTCAAAATACCTAGAAAGTACTGCGCACAGGTTTGTGTGCATGAACGGGCAGTAGGTACATGATGCCCACATTCTCATTCAGCATGAGAATGTGGCTGAATATTTAACAGCAAGGACATGAGGGTTCTGATGAAGTATCATGAATAAGTACTCTTCAGAAGGGCACTGCATTCCAACAAGGCAGAAATAAGGGTTTCCAGAGGTAGAAGATGATACATAGAGAAAAGATACCAAAGATATGTTGTGACAAACTTTGTCTCTCTTTATGTATGGTCTAAACTTGCCTGCTCCTCTGTCCCTTCCTAGAGGCAACAGACATTTAGCTCTTGTCAATGTCTCTGACTCTCCCTCCCGCCTTGTTAGGAGAGAGGAAACAAACTAAGCAGCAGCAAAAGCATTAGCAGCATAAAAATAAACTACTGGAAAGGGATGGTTTTGAGTATATGTATGTAAGTATCTAGGCTGGCGGTTCAAACCCACCAGCCACTCCTCAGAAGGAAGGCTGGGCAATCCTACTTCCATAGTGATACTGCCTCAGAAACCCAAGGAGGGGTCGCTATGAGTCGGGGCTGACTCGATGGCAAATAACAACAACAACAACATGTAAGTATCTGTGTGTGTGTTCCAAGTACCTGAATAATTTGGCCAAAACTATGTATCTCTTTATAAACATAAGAAAGACTAACCTTATTCCAAACATGCAGTGAATATAGTTCCAAATAGCACGTCTAAGCATTGAGGTATCAACATCTTTGTGCATTGCCATTGTATTGTAAGTAAGATTGTAAGCGATATGAAATTTTTCATCAATCAACTGTCCCACATCTGGATAAAGGCGATTTACCAAAGAATAGCCATGATCTTCCCAGCAATAGTCCTAGGTACAAGGAAAGAAGAAATGGGAATGCTTAAAATGTGACCAAGTATGGTTCCGCAGTACAGTGAGATCACTGGCAGTTGGAATCCACTGCCTTTCTAGAACACCATAATCTCCCAGCTTCACTGGCCTTCCAGTCTCATGTTTTCAAATTCTATACTGAAACATGCAAAAGGTTATGTTTTGTAAGTCAGTGAGTTCAAAAACCACAAGGGTCTCTTCCCTAACATAAACTAAAAAACAAAACAAAAACACACAACCCATCGAGTTGACTCTGACTCACAGTGACCCTATAGAAAGAGGAGAATGTCTCTGTGGTAGTTAACCTATGTGTCAACATGGTTGGCCTGGTTTTCAGCAGCTGGGTAGGTGGATGTAGTTATAACCCATGATGAGGCTGGTAATTGACTCCATGATGGAATCTACTGGAGCAGCTGAGTAGCTGCTTCAGGGTGTGGTCTGCTTCCAATAGATAAGGAGACAGCTTGGGGAAAGGTCTCCAGCTTTTCAGCATGCTTGGACTATGTATGCACACAACAGATTTAAGACATATATTTAAACTACAGTATGCTTCTGATGGATTAGAAGTAGTCATAAAATTAGAGCATAGAATAGATTGTATTTGCTAATTGATGATTCTCAACTTTTAGTGTGGAACTAGACACTATAACATGAAGAAGCTCTGGTAGTATAGTGCCTAAGGCATTTGACTGCTAACCAGAAGGCTGGCAGTTCAAACCCACCAGCCACTCCTCGGAAGGAAGGTTGGGCATCTACTTCCATAGTGATATACCGCCTCAGAAACCCAAGGAGGGGTCGCGATGAGTTGGGTCTGACTCGACAGCACATAACAACAACAACAACAACAAGACGCTATAACTACTGTTGCTCCTGAGATATGGCTCCTCTCAACAAGCAAAAACAGAGAAGGAACCTGGCATCCTGAAGGACTACCAGGTCCCTAAGTTTGCATCGACTCCATATGTGCAGAATTGCACTGGGGAAATTTTATTGTGTTTTTCAAATCTAATGGTTTGGGAACTCAAGAAACTGAGTACTACCAATAATAATTCTACTCCCTACATCGCTAACTTTATTCACTCTAAGAAATAAGTGTTAAGGAATTTTGAAGGAACACTTATTTATGTTTGCAACCCTCAAAATTTCTCATTGGTTCAAATAACATTTGGTTAATATTTTAAAGAGAACTAAGATACCATAATTTTCATCATGTATTTTCTATAGTTTCTGTAAGAAGTCACCCAAATTACGCAGTAAACAAAAAATTTACTCTCTCTGAAAGTCCTAACTTAAGCATATCCTTCACCTCTGAGTTTCTGTTTGGTATACTGAAAACATTTCTGTTACTCAGCCTTGGAGACCTGCTGTCAACCAGGACAGCAAACATCCTCACTCTAACATAAAATCCTCACAACTGGATCAATAAGCACATCATGATAAATGAATTCACGATCAATGCCCATGGAAGCAGTAATCAAGAATTCAATTGATATATAGCATTGGGAAAATCTGCTGCCCAGCATGTGAAAGCTGGGAAATGAATAAGGAAGACCAAAGGAAAATTGATGTCTCTGAATTATGGTGTTGGTGAAGAATATTAAATATACCATGGACTGGCAGAAGAATAAACAAATCTGTCTTGGAAGAAGTACAACCAGAATGCTCCTTAGAAGTAAGGATGGTGAGACTTCATCTCATATACTTTGGATATGTTATCAGGTGGGACCAGTCCCTGGAGAAGGGTATCATTCTTGTTAGAAGGTCAGGGAAAAAGAGGAAGACCTCAACAAGATGGAGGGACACAGAGGCTGTAACAATGAGCTCAGACACAGCAATGCTTGTGAGGATGGTGTAGAACCAGGCAGTGTTTTGCACAAGGTCACTGAATCAGAACCGACTTGCCAGTATCTAACAACAGTTAATTCTGGAGCTTGGTAGGAGATGAGGAGGAAAACCAATACAATAAATGCTGGCTAGGTTCTAGCACAATTAGTATTTATTGTTTAGCTATATTATGAAACTTAAATGACTTTTGTGCACCAACCTGAGACACTAACTACTACTGTGATTATGTTGTATGGGTGAGTGGGTTTTGAATTCTGAGCATCTAATTTATGAACTTTCATGACACAATAAATACAAGGGAACTGCTTGCATGTAGGAAAGTTACTTCCTTCTGCAACATTTGATAGTTCTCAAGTCCAGGTGGCTCTATTATTTTAAGCCAAATTGAGATATTGCTAATGAATCATATGCATATAGGAGTCCTTGGTTGGTACAAATGGTTAAGTACTTGACTACTAACCAAAAGGCTGCTGGTCTGACCCACCCAGAAGAAAAAGCAAAGTCTGTGATCTGCTTCTGAACTGTGAAGCTTTGAACACTCCAGGGAATGCAGGTGAACTCTGCACAGGCGGGGCCACCATGAGTGGGGAATTACTCCATAGCAATGGGTATGTACAGCCAACAAATGACTACTGTACCTGGACTCGGAATGTTGGAACATGCATTCCATGTCTAGAGAAATCCTTATAGCCATAACTGGTATCCTCAAAGTGACGAGATACATCTCTTGCTGGTGTAACTTCTTCATCATCTGAAACAGTTAAAAGGAAAAAAAAAAAAAAAAGCCAAAGAAAGCTTTGGAAAAACATAATGCTAGTCAAAATTAATTTCATCAATAACAAGTAAAAACAGGATACCTCTTTTTGACACTGAATACCCAATATTAACCAAAATACTATAAAATGAATGACCTAACTTAGCAGTAAATGAAATGTACTAAAAGCAGCTTCTCTATAATAATAAAAAAAATTCAGGTTCACTTCTTTAGACCTCTTTTATAGCCCCTCTTGTCCCTCTGTGTTCCCACCCAATAATATGGATACTATGGTTGTACTTAGGAGCACTTGTGGGGCAACAGGTAAGTGCTAAGCTGCTAACCAAAAGGTTGGCAGAACCTACCAGCAACTTGGTGGGAGAAAAGACCTGGCAATCTGCTCCAGAAAAGATGACAGCCTAGGACACCCTATGGGTTAGTACTACTCTGTAACACGGGGTTGCCATGTGTTGAATATTGACTGGAGGGCACTAACAACAACAGGCTGTACTCAAAGTATGAATATCCTGCTATATAATCTTAAAGGTGATAATAACACTTATTAACATCAGCTATGCTCTAAACCAGAAGCTTTGGTAGCATAGTGCCTAAGGCATTTGACTGCTAACCAGAAGGCTCGCAGTTCAAACCCACCAGCCACTCCTCAGAAGGAAGGTTGGGCAATCTACTTCCGTAGTGATACTGCCTCGGAAACTCAAGGAGGGGTCGCTGTGAGTCAGGTCCGACTTGACGGTAGCATACTACTACTACTACTACTACGCTTCAAATGTTAACACTTAGACTATTTTTGCTTGTAAACTAGTGCCACACAATATACAATGTAATCTCTCTAACAGCTCAATGATCCTAGAAATAATTCTAGGTTAAAACAAAAAAACTAAACTCACTGCCACTGAGTCAATTTTGACTTAAAGAAACCCCCACTGGGTTTCTAAGGCAGTAAATCTTGATGGAAGTGGATTGCCTGATCTTCCTTCTATGGAGTGGCTGGTGGGTTTGAACCACCAACTTTGTGGTTAGCAGTCAAATGCCTTAGGCACTGTGCCACCAGAGCTTCTTAATTCTGGAATAGTGAATGAGAAAAAGAGGGCCTGTCAATCACCACCTTTCTGATGCTTCCAGTACTGCTCTAAACCTTTTTGGATGATCATCATGTTAAGAGTTTCAAGTAAATATAGTATTAATCATCGGAACATGGAATGTACGAAGTATGAATCTAGGAAAATTGGAAGTTGTCAAAAAGGAAATGGAACGCATAAAGATTGATATCCTCGGCATT